TGCATCAATATTAAAGAAAAATTGTGAAGCTAAATGTGGTAATCCAACCGTTGTTTGTTGTGCCTTAAGGTCAACTAATTTACAATATTGAGATTCATCATCATGTCTTTTATTGATTGCTTTTTCAACATCACAAAGAGAACTAGTACTATTTACTGCCTTTTTAATAATACCATTAAATGATTCAACGCTTTGAGTACTTTGGATACCCGCATTGAATTGAAATGGTGAATACGATTTGGCCCAACTAGAACGATTAGAATATAATACTTTAGTCATATATGAACAGCTTTCTGGAAATGTACTCATCATAACTTTCCAATGTTGTTCAAATAACTCAACACTTAATGTATTTCTACATAAATAAAATGCCTTACTAAAAGATGGAAATGCTTCACCTAATTTATTTTTAAGATGTTTGATAATATTTTGCCAAATATGAAAAAGGCAATAAAAGTGTGGTGTTGTTGGAAAAACATGAGATGCAGCATTAATTAAACCAGGTTCTGAATCCGTCCAAAATGCTTTTGGAGTTGTTTTATCAGTTGCTTCCATTAAACATTTCAAAATCCAAATATATGTTGACGCCATCTCATCTTCTACCAAAGCATTAGCTACATTTCGAAATTTTCTATAATTATCTCTCACCATAAAGACACTCAAATACATATTATATTTGTTAGTTTTACAGGTATTATCATTTAACACCACATCATGGAATCTTTGATACAAATCCTGTTGAAATGGTGACATCCAAAAAATACCAGATAAACGTCTTTCATTACCAGAATGCCGAACAAATACCTTCCAATTTGAATCTTCAGTCATTTTTTCAAAAAGAACATTAAGTAATAAACCAGAATCAAGGTTTTCATCTTTATTATTTCCATGTAACTTGTAAATTGAATTATAGACGTCCTGTTTGTGAAAAACATGTTCTGGGTATTTTTTTTTAAGAATTTCTAATTGTACAATAGGCGCAACTTTGCAATCTGTAAAAAATGCTAAGTCTTGCATCATGTCATCATTAAACTGTCTATATCTAGCATTAAGATGAGCTATTTGGGCTGAGTTTAATTCATGATTATGGGAATCTATTAATGTTGTACATCTTATACGTTGTTCAGTTTTTGGTAATTTAAAATTACAATGCCATTCACAATTGGTTTTGTTAGAGTTACGCAAACGATGTACATTTTGATTAATTATTTTTTGACCTTCATAATTACCATTTAAGGAACAACGAAATGATTTACGATGGATAATAGAATGATCATTTATGTCTTTATCATTTCGATATATTTGATAACCAAATCCTCTTTCCAAACAGTAATTATACATAAACTTATCAACAGACATCCAGTCATCAAACATATCTCCAATATGAAGATTATATTGATAAATAGGAAAGTTTGAATTATTATTAGAATAGTTAAAAGTATTTGTATTATCAATAACTGGGTTTATAGGTTCTACTTCTAGTTCAATAAAAATATTATCGTTAGGAGATATAATAGTATCTTCTATGTCACAGTTTACACCACTTTCAATAAAAAAGTTTGGTGGTGGTGTAAAAACATCTTCAATATCTTTTGGAAAATTTATAAATGATTCCCAGTACAATTACATTATGGTGAAAGAGGCATAAATATAAAATATCACAGTGTAAATTATCACATTAATATTAATAGGGGTAATAGTAACTTTACAAGAAAAAAATTTTTACGCATTTGTATCAATACAAATGTAATACAAAATAAGGTGAAAATCACCCAAGGTGAAATAAAAATTTTTAATTATTAAATTCACCTAGGGTGAAAAAATTTAAAAATCACCCAGGGTTAAATTAAATTTTTAATTATTAAATTCACCTAGGGTGAAATTAATTAATTTTTATTAGTAAAATCACCTAAGGTGAAATTTAAATTAATTCAAAAAAAATATAGAATTAAACTTTTGAAATTTGCAAGATATTTAAGATGTTATAATAGAACAGAATCCCGCTTATTTATAATAAAAGTTACTGTAAAAAATTGGCCTTTTACTAATAATTTTTACTTTACATTTTTCTTATAAAATTTTATTGGTTAATTAGATAAAAGGAAAAAAATCATAATAATATAACATAAAATTTACTTTTATAGTAGAATCTGCAAAGAATTTTAAATATGATTTTTACTTTAAAATTAAGGTGAAGATTACTAAAGAAATTAGAGAATTTTGATAAGTTGGTAAAAATGCTGAAATAATAAAACTTTATCAAAACTATATAAAAGTTTTATTAAAAAGTTGGCAAAATTCTAAAAAAAAGTAAACCCTGATAAAACTTATTGTAAATGCTGTAATTATTAAAATTTTGTCAAAACTATAATAAAATTATAGTAAAATTTTAGAAAAACTAATTGTAGAATTTTAAAAAGTTTAGGTAAACAATCTTACTGAAAAGTAAGTGAAATTTTAATAAAACTAGTTTACTTATTTATAATAAAAGTTACTATAGAAAATTGGCCTTTTACTAATAATTTTTACTTTACTTTTTTTAAATTTTATTGGCTAATTAGTTAAAAGGAAAAAATTATAATAATGTAATATTAAATTTCCTTTTATAGTAAAATCTGCAAAGAATTTTATATATAATTTTTACCTAAAATTTAAAGGTGACTTATTTTATAAGTAAATGGGATTCTGCTATAATTCATAATATATAGTAGAAATTTAATTAAAAAAACATTTTTGCTTTTGAACTTAAATTTAATAAAAAGAAATGTGTATTATAAAAAATAATAAAAAAATTTTATTTAACTAAATTTATAATTTGTTAAAAAATTAAAACCTTCAGTAGTTTAGTTCTTAATGAATTAACAATATTTAATAATAATATAATTTACTAATTTTATTATTTAAAAGATTAATAATAAATTAAATAAATTAAATAATCAATTATATATATTAAAAACAATTATTTTATATGTAAATTTTTTTAAAAAAAGGAATTTGTTTAAAATCAAAAAAAGTAGTTTTTTTTTTTATTTTACTAAAAGTTTTTTTTTAATATAAAAAATTGAAAAGTAGTATTATTAAATCTTATCAGTAGTAATCATTATTACCAGTACTATTTAATTCTGGTTAAAAGATTATAATTTAGTTAAAATTTTAAAATACCAGTTTATAATTTTAATTAAAATTAAGAAATACTGATTACAAAATTTTAATTTATTTAAATAATAAACAAAAATTTTAAAATTTTGTTATGATTAATATTAAATTTTAAATATTTTGTTAATATATAATATTTATTATTTATTATTTAATATTTTATATAATTTAAAATATTATTTGTTTTATAAAAAAGTAATTTATAAATAAATATTATTAAAAAAATTGGTTGTAAAAAAATTAATATTAAATATTTGTTTTTATTTTTTTTATAGAGTTTATATTTTTTGAATAATCAGAAATTTAATAATATATTTAAGATATAAAACCTTTAAATATATCTAAAACAAGTTTTATAATTTGACTTTACTAATAATATTCAAATTTGATTTTTATATTATATTATCTATAATAAAAATAATATTAAAATAATATTATTCAATATATAAATAATATTAAGAAAATATCTATTTGTACAGTATAAACTATATGGAATATATAGATTTTATAGTAAAATTTAAAAGGTTAGTATTAGGATTAGAGTTAGTATTAGGGTTATAATTATGGCATAATACTATAATGGATTATTTAAAAAGCCAAATAATTATGGTAATAATTATTTAATAATGAATAGCAAAACCCTAATATTAAAGAAATATTAAATAAGTAAAATTATATAATTTTTAAATAATTTATTTTTTTATTTTTTTTTTATTTCATATAAAATATAAATTTAAAAGAAATGTAAATATTTAAAAATGGTTCAGCTATCAGTTAATTATAATTAATTTTCTTTAATACTTTTTTTTAATAACATTAAGCTTTAAAATTATTTTACTTTAAAATTAATTTTACAAATATATGAGTCTTTAACAAAAGTAGTAATACTGTAATAGAAAAGTAATATATAAATTATCAAATTAGAATTCATTATAAATTACATTTCCTTTTTTTAAATATAGCAAAAAAAACCAAAATTATATTTATAGTTTTCGTTAAATTTTTTTATTTATTCTATCTATAATTAAAAAAAAATGTTGGGAAATTTTTTTTGTGTTAAGTACTAATTATATTTTGTGTTTTTTTTGTATATCTTTGTACTTACTTTCTACCAGAAAATCACTGAGATGCACCAAAATTAAGTACAAAGCATACAATATACTATTTTCGGATTTTCGGAGTTCGGCATTAGGATCCCTAAGCCATTTGACTACAAATGTTATTATCTTAACGCCAAACTTATATGCGTGTAATACGGGAATTTTATTTGGAAAATAGATATCATTTAACAACCTGATTTTTTACAAGAAAAAAATTATTATTATTTTTTTTTTTTTGACATTCTAGACTTTCCCAAAATTGAAAGTTCCCCTCTTTTAGTGCACGAATAATTTGATAAAAGAATTTTTCGGGATGTAAAAAGCACAGTACCACATATTTGTTTTTCAAATAAATCAGTAAAATAGGGGGGGGAGAGGTGGGGATGTTATCATGTTAAACAGCATGGTAAGACCACGAGCAAAAATACTTTTTGGAAAGATAGAACGAAACTTCTAAAAAAAGTCTTTTCGATTTTGGATTGATAAAAAGTTGTGTAAAAAAAGATTGATTGCGCCAAATCAAAAAAAAATTTTTTTTTTTTTTTAAAAAAAAAAATCTACTGCCATTTATTAATTACAAGTATCTATCTAAATATAAAATACTGTCATTTATTAATTACAAGTATCTATCTAAATATAAAATACTGTCAATTACAAAGTATTTATCTAAATATAAAAAAAAAATAAACAACTTTAAATTACAATTAATTATACAATAATTCAATTAAATTAAATTAATTAATCATTTTAACCAGGAACTTTTAACAAATTATTTGGACTTGCAATATTTAAACCATTATTAATATCTAATATTAATATTTTTGTATTTGTATTTTTACTTGGAATATCTTTTATAACATTTTTAGTGGAAATATTAATTAAATCGTTTTTAATTTGAGATGGAGATTTATTTCCACTTTTACTTATCATTAAAGCAATTGTACCAGATACATGAGGTGTGGCTTGACTTGTTCCATCTAAAATTTTCGTTGATGTATTTGATGATTTCCAAGCAGATTGAATATTTTTTCCTATAAAATTTCAATAAAAAATTTTTATATTTCATAAATAAACAAAATTTATTTATATTTTTATGAGTTATAATAATAATAATACCTGGAGCGAAAATATTTACACATTGACCAATATTAGTAAAATCAGTCAATTTATCAGATTCATCAATTGCACCAACAGTAATAGCGTGAGGTGATGATGCTGGAGCGAAGTTACACGAATTTGAATGAAAATTATTTCCTGCTGCCACAACCACATGTATACCTGCAGCAAATAACTTTTGCATTATTAAATTTATAGTCAATGAATCATCTGATCCTGCCAACGACATACTATTAAACGAAATAAAAAAGGTTAATCTAAAGTAAAAGAAAAGAAAAGTGTCAAGAAAATATAACATACTTGATGATTGTATTTTTATTTTTATTTTTCATATGTTCATTAAAAACATATATCAAACCAGCAATTACGCTACTTGATGTACCAATACCAAACTTATCTAATACTTTAACCGCTATAACATTTGATAATTTTGCTACTCCAAATGTTTTACCTGAAAAAAAAAAAAAAAATAATTTTAAAAAATTTTCAATTTTTTTAAAAAATAATTTATAAAAATGAATTAATAAACTTACCAGCAACCTAATTTTGAGATAAACAAACGATATTTATTAATTAATATTTTAAAATAATGTAAAAACAAATATTAAATAACTTACTATAGCTGCAACATGAGTTCCATGCCTACATAAATACATAAAATTAATTTTGATAAATATAATAATAATTTAATTAATGATATTAATTCATATAACATACCCATTATCATCAATATTAGAACATTTATCACAAAAAGAAGCACCAAATTTTGCACGACCTTCAAATTCTTTATGAGCGATACTTATACCACTAAAAGGAAAATAAAATTATAATTAAAATTGAAAGGTAAATAATAATTGTTTACGCTAATCCTGTATCTATTCCGGTACAGGAAGAACTGCGGATTAATTAATTAAAATACTTACGTATCAATAACATAAATGTTTACACCTTTACCGGCCGAAGAAGGATACTTGAATTTTTTATCTAATTTATTCGTAGTTTGATCAATTCTATCCAAGTTCTTTATTATAGATGATATAAAATGTTAGACGAGTTACACGAATTACACAAGTTACAAACACACTTACCCATAAGGTAGTGCTTTGTTGTACGATATCATTACTAGATCTCTTGCTTAATTTCCTTTTCCAGGAAGTCACTTTAAAAGTTTTTTCTTTTTCAACAACATCAACATCATCCCAATCTTTTAATTCATCTTTAACAAAATTTGGATCAAAATAACCCACATAACCTGTAATAACATTTTCAACATTAAAATCTTGAAGAACATCCTTTTCATTATCTAATTTATTCGTATCATCATGAAATGGTATCGTAGGTATCGTAGTTTTATTTAAACATTTTGACATTTTATTAAAATGATCTCTTCTTCTAGAATTAAGTGAACGAGAATTTAATGAAGGATTATCTTTCAAGATTACAACGAATTTCTCTTGTTTTCCCCTATAATGTCTTTTTGGACATTTTAATGAGTTTACTTTATAGAAAAATGAAGTGAATAATAATAATGTAATTATAAATTTAAAAAATGAAGGAAACATTGAGAATAAAGGAATGGTAAAGGGATTTAAAGGAAAGGAAAGGAATGACGGAAAGATTGGAAATTAAAAGGAAAGTGAAAATAATGAAATTTTAATGAAGGAAAAAAGAAGGAATGTATTTTTATGTGATAGACATGATTGAAATAAATTATAAATGGCGTGGTAAAAGCGTGATAACACTGCGTGTCTATTTATTTATATTCAGCAAATCATCAATTTTAATTCGTTTAATGAATCGGGACATAATTCCGCATGGTTTGTATAATGTTACATCTGTTACATCTGTTACATCCAAATAAAAATTACAAATCCAATAAAACCAATAGGAAATGGAAAGTTATATTAAAGTTATTATTTTTGTTCGTTATTAAAGCAAGGAAACAATTAATAAAGATTTATTATTTATTAATTAAGAATATAATTTTATTAATCTTTTTTCATTTGTTGTTCATTTGGTTCATTGTTCATTTTTTGGATTACATTTTAATAGCAAAGTTAAAAAAAAAAAGAGAGAAGAAAGAAAAAGTGATAATAAGAGGAAAAAAAAAAAAAGTAATAAATGTTCAAAATCAAAAGAACTATTTTAAAAGAACTAATTTAAACTATAAAAGTAGATTATTATTAAGTTGATTTTCAAAAAAAATTTTTAATATAAAATCCAATTTATTATTCGGTTTTTTGACGTTTGGGACTATTTCCATCATTATCACCACCACCTTCATGATCCTTTCCTTCATGTTCATTGTCTTCATTACTATCAACAACATCAGCGTTAACGGATTCAGAATTTTCTAATTCTGGTACAGGAACATAGCAGAGTTCAAGTTTCATACCATCAGGATCTTCCCAAAAAACTATATATGAAAAATAAAACAAAAAAAAAAAAATGAATAATCACGTGATAAAATACGGAAATTAAATAAAAAAAGAACTAAAATTTTTTAAAAATATAAGCTTACCGGCATAATAACCAGGAGCATATTCATATTCTTTGGGTTTATCCAAAACAGTGAATTTATTTTCTACTAAAAAATCGTGGAAATTATCAACTTCTTCACGAGATGTTGCATTTAATGCTAAATGATGGAAACCAACAGAATATCTGATATGTTTGGAATCTTTATGTTCCGGCTTAATTGGAGCGACACCAATTTGAATTCCACAAGCTTTATTTGTCCAAGCTGTATAGTATACTTCTTTCATGAGCGGTTTGAAACCTATTTAAAAGAAAAAAAGGAAAAAAAAAAGTATATAAGAAAGAAGATTTAGGGAAGATTTGCCAAAATTATCAAATTATCAAGATTTTAAACATGATTTACCTAATTTTGTGAGGACAGTGTCATAATATTTAATGCTTTTATCATAATCACTAACACTAAGACTTAAATGAGATAACGATCCTAAAATAGGTCCTTGATTACTCATTTTTTTATTTTTTTTTTATAGTAAAAAAAAAAATTAAAATATTGAAAAGGGGAGAAAAACGTTATTAAAGAAAAAAAAAATTAAAAAGAAAAAAATTAAAAAGAAAAATAAAAGGAAAGAAAAAAAAGTAAAAAGTGAAAAATGATGGGAAAAATTCGAACTAATTTATAAAATTTTTTGTACTGTGGGAACTTTATTGTTTACCCTATTTAGTTTGTTTTGTTTATCAAAAGTATTTGAACTATTTGGATTTTTTTTTTATTTATTATTTTTTACTTTTTACTTTATAAAATTTCAAGGGTAATCAATCAGTAGTTGTAGTTGTATGATGATATTCCATGTACATCAATGAAAACTATTTTCGTGATATTCATTATTACATTAATTGATTCTTTCAATATTTTACCGAAACAATCCGTTTCAATATAATTTCCGAGTTTGGGTTGAATGTAATTATTAAATATAATAATATATATTTCTTATTATTATATATATAAATTTTAAAATAAAAAATGTAAAGTATCAACAAGGGTCCATTGTTTTGATATTAAATAGAACGATTATAAAGATTATTAGATCAAAAAATTTATTTTTTTTATTCTAAAAAAATCATTTTAATATTACGGGGGTGATCTTCAAAAAAGATTTTGAATTAGACCTAATATGAAGGTGATGGGCGTTACGGGGTTATTTATGGGTTACCTCCATTAGGTTTAGTTAGGAATGAAGTACAAATGTACTAAATGTACTAAATTTACTAATTTAAATTAAATAAATAATATTTACATCTAAAATTTTTTTCCTAAAATTTTCAATGGATAAAAAAAATCCGGTTTAAGAAATAATAATTCCGGTATTTTAAAATTTAAGGAACCTCTTAAGTTTGAATACGTCAAAGTTCATGTTTTTCAAATATTTGATGATCAGATCTAATTCAAGTAAATTTGTTTAATTTATTAAACAACAAAACTAATTTCTTATTAAAGGAAAAAGTTTGTGAAAGAAAGAAATTCATTTCATATTAAAAAAAAATATTTATACATATGTTTGATGATATAATTCCCGCATATCTTATCAATGAGGATATATTTAGTTTACAATATTTTTTATTTTTGCCCATTCTTTGATCGTAACCTAATTATTCAATTATTTTTAAATTGACCCACTTTCGGAAATAAATTGGATCTTGTACGAGAAAAAAATTAAACGAATGAGCTTTCAAACTTCAATAAAAATTATATATAAAATTTTCCTCTCCTGTTTCATACAATTTTTTCTTCTTAATGAAAATGGGTTACCAGTAGTATGAAATAAATATTTATGTTTAACAGTTTGACAAAATAATCGATTTCTAACCATTTTAGTATTCTATAATCCACGGAATTTTCATGGAAAACTGAAACAATGATATATTTTCTATGTATGGATTATTTGAATTTATCCGTTTTTTTTAATTATCCGATGTGTTACCTTAATGACAAAGTTTTTTTTTTTTTACATTATTTATGAATGTAACAATATATTATTATTTATTATGCATTTTTATGATTCGTTAAAATGTTTGATTAATCAATCTAAAAAAAGATTTCTTCTTTTTTAATTCCTCGTAATAATAATATTACACTCATTTCATTAATTACAGCTATGAATCCAAAATAAGGATTTCTATCTAGAAACATTGAACAAGATCCGGATCCAATTTTTACGTAATACATTAAAATATGAATTATACATTTTTATTTATATTTTTTCCGATTTTATAATATATTTATATTACATAATATTTTATGTATGAAAGAATTCGTCCACATGTATGATAATAATATGTGTGAGATATTTATTTCTATTATAGTTTAGTATCATTGATTTATTTGTTTTAAAAAAAAAAAAAAAATTATTTGGGAGAAAATAATAAAAAATTTTTTTTTTTTTTTTATAGTTATTCTAATTTTTTTTTATATAGTAATATATATAAAAAAAAAACTTGTCAACTATTCCATAATTAGGAATCTTTATTAATTACGATAGATCCCATTGCAGATTAATATGATAATTGATTTAAAAATAAATAAATAAATTATTATTTTATACATTCTTTAAGGTTCTCATTGTTAATGATAAAAATAACAATAATAATATGTTATAACGCAATCCTTATTCATGTGTAAGATAAACAAATTATTATTTTCACCAATAATATTTTTTGATCGATCCTCATTCATGATTCTACTTTTAATTATATTTTTTCGGCTTTAATTTTCCCGAAAATTTTTGAATCATCCCGGTTTTTTCGCTAACCAAATTCAGTATTTGAAAAAAAATTCTGTTTTGATAAAATTAAAACGTTTTGGATTTAATAATAATAATGTGATTTTCTCGATTTTCTCAAAATATTAAAATTTCATTCATATTTTTGATTTTCATTCAAAGAAAAACACGTCTTACAAATGTTAAATAGCATTTAAGTGAAATGTTACATATAATATGCGCACCCCCTCTCACCTTCGGGTATTTTATTCTCCCCTTAATTCTGGTAACATAAGCCTTTAATTCCGGTTAGGATTATATTGTACGTACCCCCAGCTCTCGTATAACAAATACTCCCTCATATAATACTCGGTATTTCACGAGGTTTATGCAGTGTTAGCATATCTACAGTAAATTGTTCCTATCAGGAAGGAATTCGTCGCGTCTTCGACTTTATTCAAAAAAAAATTTCAAGTGGTCCAATGTGCGTAATCGATCGTTCCGATCTATTGTTAATAAACATTCATGTTTATAGAGCAGAATGACATGTACTGTACAATGTACATACATACATACGTCTATGTATGTATATATTGTACATTTTTATAATTCAAAGGAAACTTTAATTAATCAACCCACTATTAAGGAATGAATCCCACTATTAAAGAATGTTCACTTCCGCTACCACTACTGTTAAAGTGAGACCACCACTAACCACTAATAGAAAATTTGAATATTTCTTTCTAAGTGATATAATAAATATGGGGTGATATCGGTCTTCGACTGATATCTCTTTTCTCCCATCCAATAACTATTTATTACTGTGCTGTTGTCATTCGTGGTTGCCACTATTATTTCACCACTACTGCTATCCACTATTAGTCTATTACCGCCGCTACTGCTATCCACTATTACTACTGCTATCCACTATTAGTCTATTACTGCTATCCACTATTAGTCTATTACTGCTATCCACTATTAGTCTATTACCTCCGCTACTACCACCCGCTATTGCCATCACTATTATCACCACTATCATCACTCGCTACCACAAACCGTCGCTGCTACTCGTACCATCACCACCCGCTACTGTACTGCCACTCATTCATTATCTTATTATTACTTAAATTGATATTCTATGATACATCAAAATTGAAATATCTAATTTTGATGTTTGATTATAATTTCTACCAGTAAATTCTATAGTAAAATATTTATCTACTATAATTTAAAATTTTTTTTATCTAATCAATTTAATCAATTCATCGGAATCATAAAAAAAAAATCTTTGAAAGTCTTGATATTTTTTTTTGATTACCATTTTTTTTTCGATAATTAAAGTTGAATCAATAATAGGTTTTAATAAGAAATTCTTTTAATAAAAAGATTATAAATTTTTTTTTCATCATCTTGAAATTGTTTTTTTTAAAAAAAACATTTCTTAAAATTTTTTAAATGGTAAAAATATATATATATATATTTTAATTCATCTTTATAATTCAATAAAAATTCTTTGATTTTTTAAAATCTTTTATATTATTATTATTATTATGATTTCGTTTCTTGTAATTCCCTCATTTTAATATTTATTTTCTAAACTTCATCTTTTGATAATCATTAATCCATTATAATTAATTAAAGATTTGTTTCTTCCAAAATAAAATTGTACATTTCATTCATATTAAATAATAATTTTGAATTAATTATAATAAAATGTTTTTCAATCTTAATCTTCAAATTTTTTAAAAAATGTTGTGAAGGTGAAATAGTTTTTATATAATAATAAAATAAATTTTTTTTTTTTTTAATCAAATTTCCACCAAAAATTACAAAGAATATATTGTTGAATATGATTAATAATTTCTAAAAGTTCCATTTCATCAGCTGTTATCATTAAATCTATTAATTTTATTAATTCAATGTCTTCATCATCTTCGATAATAATAATAATTCCTGTATAGATATAACGAAGGATAACTTCAAAATTTAATGGTGATGTGTTTGTTTAATAAAATAAATTATGTTGTCTTTGATCGTAGCCCAATAATTTGATAATGCACTTTTGGAACAATTTGATCTCTCTCGAAAAATTGATGAATAAGCTTTGAAAGATTTTATATCATTAAAATCTTTCTTAACTTCAATAATTACGTTATAATCCTCTCATGTCTTATATAATTGCTTTAATTAGTCGTTTGTGACGGTGCGCATGATGTATGTTATGATTAAAGTTTTGGAAAAAAGAAGAGAGAATTTGTACGAACTATTCTACAATTTTTAAGCGCGACAACAAAAAGCACGTTTTAATTAACTATATATGGGACAATTAATTGCGATTTCTTAACATATCTAGTATATATGCGTTTATATCTACGATCTACGATCTAGCTTATCAGATCACCAGATCAACCTCAGAATCGAAAGTGAATTCAAATGATATGATCTGTAATTCAATAAAATCAAATGACTAATAATTAGGCAAGTCAAATGCATTACAATACTTCATAATACACGAGTCTACATTTTAATTTAATTAATTAATTATTTTATTTATTTTATTTTAATGTTTCTCTATTTCAAATTTTATAAATTTTTATTCATATAGTACAGTAACATTCACCATTCCCATTTTCAACTCTATGTAAAAGTCCTTTTAAACAGAATGATTTTTTTCTAAATTTTTCTTGTATCTTTCACACTCAATCTTTACTGGATTCAGATCTTCCGAAATGTCAAAATAACCAGTCTCCTTATAATGCCATCTTTTCATCCTTTGTACTAATTTTAACCATGAATCCTCTATTCTTTTATCAAGTACTTGAGAACAATAATATATAAATTCGTCAATATGTATCTTCTCGAATAATTTTATCCCTTTTCTTCGGCCTAATTAAAAAGTCGTTCTATCAATATTTATTCAATAATATAAAGATTAAATGAATGTATTTGTTACCTAATTTCATTAATGGTACTGTATGAAACAATAATACGCCCCAAAATTCTTTTGGTGATATTTCAGAGCGTAAACATTCAACTAGTACTTGTGCTGCTTGGACATAAAATTCATCCTTATATTTTTTTAAAAATAAAATAGTTAGCATATCTTATTTTGTTACATGGTAGATTAAAAAAAAAAAAATGAAAAGGTTACCTGGATTAAAGAATGATACAATCTATATCTTGACAGAAAGTTAACCGATTCATTGGAATTTTTATCAACAGGAATACTATCAAGTACTTCACTAAACATAATTTTACCTATTAATTAAATAATAAATTATTTAAATTTTTCCGAAAAATATATGCATATATATAAAGTTTTAATAAATTATCCTTACCAGATTCAACATACTGTGTTAGAAATATATTACAAATTGCTTTAAGACTTTCGTCTTTTCCTGCTCGCATATAATAAATAATAGTTGAAGCATATCTCTTTATCTGCATGTATTTGGTGCCCATAGTCTAATAACTTAAAAAATCAATTTAGAATTGTATAATATTAAAAAAGGACAAAAGGAAAAAAAAAGGAAATGGAAAAAGGAAAATTAATATGGTAAATTACCGTAATGATACACTTCTCGTCGAATTTTAATCCATTATCTTCACAAATCTTTAATATTTTCTCGAATTTTCTCTCGTTATCAAAGGGAATTTTTCCAACAAACTATAGTAATAAATGTTTACTATCAATTTAGAATCCTATTCAGAAAATTAATTCCTTAAAATAATCTTATTTTCTTACTTCTTCCATAAATACTTTTCCAAATTTCTCGCAATGCTCCAAATATTTAAACCCAACCTGCCATAGTGTAGAGTGCGTTAATAATGGTTCCGCAAATTTAATTAAATAACCTTCACGATGCTGATGCAACAATCTAAAACATTAAATTTTCATTAAGGAAACAATAAAACTCGTTATTGTTCAGTCGATTAGGAATTAGGAATATGCGAGATTTTAATGACCAATATTGAAAACGTTATTAGTGACATTAATTCCTATTGGTCACTGCAGTATTCCTAATGACTGAACGTTATCGGATGGTCTTCGACCAATATCTCTTTTCCCCATCCAATAACTATTTAATATTTTCAGTTACTAATAGAAAAGGATACAAGCTCTTTCCGCCTATTGTTTCATCCAGGTCGGTTTTGCAAAGTAAGTCTGTTAAATGTGATAACAACCACGGATCGATATGTTTACAGTAGCTTAATGCCTAAAGAAAAAAATCGAGTTTTTTTATTCTATCAATTATAACCTAATTCAAAAAGGATTATTATTTCAAAAACTAATTACGTCATCAATACGTTGATAAAAAATTCGTTTTAGAGCCTGGCTAGTGGGATCAGGATGTACAGAGAATCTAATAAAAACCGGCCCTAACGTAGATCTGTGTACAATTAAAAGTGCGTGAGAAGAAATTTAACAACAATATATGATGAAATGAGGTTGATCACGTAATTTACCTTACATCTGAAGTTTCACATTTAGGATATTTATGATAAACTAGGGCGACTAACCCTTCCAACCACGAAGAACTTTTAGCTAGAATGGCATCAGGATCACCGGATAATATTTTCAGAATCATAATAAAATTCTCCTCTAAAAATTTATTCTCCAGAATTATAGATTTTTGTAATTGTCTAAATAAAAGTAATAATTTCTTTAATAAAGATAAAATGATATAAAAAAAAAGCGTAAACATTATACTTACGAGCACTGCGAAAGCCAATTTCTCCAAGCTAAACCTGTATCATATGAAGACATTTTTGGTCTAGATTTTATGCACTTTATAACGGATTGTATAATATCATTTATTATAATTTCTCTATTAATGATTTGATCACTTGTAATTTCCACTGCCATAATTATACTTCTTAAAAAATTTATCGCTTGTGGAAACAAACCGCGAAGAATTAATCTAAATATATGGAAGATTTACACTATTAGTTATGATTAAATATTAAGAATATAATTAACATGTAAGACTAAAATAATATGTACTTATATAATCTTGACCAGAAAGTCACAGTGTTACGAAGATTAGGACTATCTCTTAACTCATTCAATTCTTCTTCTGTTAAAGCTAGAGGAAATTAAAAAATATCTGACATCACATATCATTGAAATGTAAAAGTTATTTACGTGGACTTAACTATATATTATATAACTTACCTCCTAAGGGGTAGCATTCATTTAACCAAGTCAATAAATCTGTTGATAATCTCTGATATCTTTCAGATTTGATGAAATACATAATTCGACATAACTCCCAAATGGCCATCATATCTCTAAATGTACTGATTTCATTCTGGATTTGTTTATCTTTAATTGGGATCTATGTACATAAATACATACAAATAAAGTTAATTAAACAGGAATTATAAGTAAATATTAAAAAAAAAACGCGCGAACCTCTTGAAGACTCTTAATATGATTCACGATAGCGTTTACATAATTCCATGAGATATCACATAGTAATTTTTCTCGCATCCTATTAATTTATAATATCGATTATAAATCTTCCTTCAAAAAAATGTATACATAAGTATATACTTGGAAGTTCTATATAATTCAACTCACGACTTTTCGCGCCATTCTTTGCTAAAGGGTGCTCTGGCTGCTTCTCGGAAAATAGAAAAAGCTTCATTGTAAAACTAAGAAAAGAAACAATTGTATGTTAACATTCAGTTAAAACAAGAAATTTCCGACTATCACATACATATATTACTCACTACTCTTCGAGAGTCTATATCATGTACTAAGGAACAATTATAAATTTGAGTATCCAAAGTGAAACTCTCTTTTTTGACCTTGAAATTTTAACTAATTGTTAAAATCACTTTTTAGCTTACGCGTTTTAAAATAAAGATTAAATTACCTTCTCTTTCGGCTCCTTTCCAAAAACATAACACGCAAAATCTTTTGAACGAGTAGGATGAAATTTAACTCCAGTACTTTGATTTGAAGTAGACCAAAAATTTGAATCATATTTAAAAAGTGGGTTAAGAAAGATAGTTTGTTTCCGAGTTTCTGGTTTAAGGTCATTTTCTTCAACTTGTTTTCCTTTTCCCTTGCCAAGATACGCGTCTTCCTTTAAGAAAGCTTCAGTAATAACAGAAGCCTCATAGAATTGTGTTGAAGAAGGAAATGAGCTTATACCCTCGAATTGCGAATAGTCAACTGGTGGAGGTTCAAAGGTAAAAGGTGTAAACTGTAAAATATTTGAATTATGCTCTGGAAATAATGACATTGTAATAAAACTTATAAGTAGATGAAGTGTGATAAAAAATTCCTCTCCTAATTTTTTTATAAAAAAAAAAAAAAGGGAAAAACATTATCGATCAACACAAAGAACAAACTACGCCTATCACGTGATAAATTATGAAGTCAGTAATGATAAATATGATAAATATGGAATAAAGCATAAAAAAAAATTTGTAACTCACTGTCGATGTTACCTCAAAAGTCAACAATGACAATGAAGTTTATTTATTTTTTATTTGTCAGTTGCATAAATTCTTTTAAGTATTTATTCTTTATAACCTATGAAATCCAGTATATTATATTGATCTGAACTAAATAAAAACTTAATATCCCAAAAGAGATAAAATAAAAGCCACACCGATTGGAACTGTTAAATTATCACTTCCCATTGGACTGATAGCTTCGAAAAAAGTGCTAACGCTTGCAGAAATTAAAGCTCCGGTAAAATAATTACTAGTTGTTAAAGTAGGGGGAGACATAATATACCAAAAGAAAAGAACAGAAATGATAGTAGCAACAAAATTTGCTAGTGAGCCCTCAATAGTTTTTTGACCCACATCTCCCATAACTTGATATCTAAGTACTCCATATTTTCTGCCGATGATACTGGCAAATGCGTCACCAAATGTCATCGCCATTATTCCAGCTATAAGAAAATGGTATTGTTAAGAAGAAAAAGTAAAAGAAACAGGTTCATGCAAAGGATAAACATAAATTTACCGATCGCAAGATATTCGCGTCCATCATTAAACCATCCAAATAAGAAAGCACATGAAAATGGAAAATATACCGTACCTAGGGTGGCACCTTTCATCGGATCTATAGAAAAAAAATCATTAGTTTGATGCAATTTTACTTATTTTCATATTTATGATTGCAATTTTAAATTTACCCATTGACTTAAACATTCTTATCCTAAGGAAAATATAATTGATGACTACAAAAGAACCAGTTAAAAATACCACATATTCCCGTTGTTCAAATAAATATAAAAGTAAAAACATGAAGGTTCCGCTTAACACGTGAATAATTTTTCGGGAAACATGAATAGGTATATTAAAAGTTCTTTGTGTTATTTCAACAGTTAGAAGAAGAAATGAAGCATAACCATAAGATATTGCGAGAGCTTTTAGAGTTGCGAACGTTGGCGAAGGAAGAAGAGTCATTGAAAATTTAAAAAATCGATAACTCCGAAAATGGAAAACTTTGTACTTTATAAATGAATAATTGGACAGAGATCTACAATCTACATTTTTAGATTTAAATCGTTAGAAAACCGTAAAAAAAACGGTATTCAGCATAAATTGATAAAAATATACCACAATATAATTGTTATTTAAAATGAAATAATAAAATAATAATAAGTGAAATAAAAGATGTTCGAAATTATTAATGTCCGGAAAATCCGGAAAAATGAAACTCACTTTTTATGTGGTTCAACAATAATTTTTGAATTGCTTTTACGATTAAACTTTGAAACAAAAATGTAATATATAAAAAAAAAAGATTTTATTAATAATATTATATAGAAAAGAAAATCGAATTTAAGAAAAAAGTATTTATTCTATTTATATTCATTCAAAAAATCCTTATTAGATGGCTTATCATTTCGCTTTGTTTTCGTACCCTAATTTGGCAAAATTGGACGAATTTTACATTAACTATTTATTGATATGTTTGAAAGCTTGATAAACCTAAATTTTTTAATTTATATCTTTTAAGTAAGCTTAAAGATTGGTGTAATTTCCATTTTCATACAACAAAAGACCATTTTCGTAGCGAGAAACCGTAATTTGCATTGTTTTTCGATAATTTATTTTATATTTCTCATTAAAGATTTCAATTCTTTTTTTTTCCTTGAAAATTTATAGGCAAAAAAAACGTTTATATTTTATTAATTACAGTATATTATATTACGAAGTACAAAGGATAAAATTAAATTAATTAAATCTAAATGTTAGAAACGAGAAGATTGTCAATAAAGGGTATAGTTATCTGATTATATTTTGTTATTATATTAAATAATGTAATAATATAATATTGTTAATGAGAATATGCATGAGATAATGAAAATAATAATAATAATAATAATAATAATAATAATAATAATAATAATGAATATATTATAACTTTCTGGGAATGAAAACTGATAAAACACTGGGTTTGGGTATTGGTCACGTTGACATTGCCCAAGGGACGGGGGATTGGACCGATAGGATTTCTTCCTTCTTCATATCATCATTATTTATTAATAAAAAGAAAAAATAGAAATTTTAAATTAAAAGAAAAAATGTAAGTTTAAAAGATAAAATTTGCTTACGAAGATTAAACATTCTTTTATTTCTAAAATATACAAAGGATGTTAACAAAATGTTCCTTAACAATTAACAAAAATACTGTAATATATTTTACCGATAATAAATATATTTAGCTGATTGACGATGAGAAATTGAACGACTTATCATCACATATGGATTTTTATGATGTTTGTACTTATTCATACCTTCTTTAATAATATCATCATCAACCTAAAAAAAAAGGAAATAAAATAAATAAAAATAAACCAAAATACTAGCAAATTATAATATCAACATACATGTGGGGGTTGTTTTGAATATTTTGCCATTTTTACAATTATTTAGAAAAAGAATAATTAGATTTATTCTGAAAAGCAGAAAAATATATAATGAAATAAGGAATAAAAAAAAGGAGGATGCATTCTATTTATTACTAAATCTTGAAAGATAAATTCTTGTTTCACGCATATACTGTATATTTATTGTATATATTATATTATACATTATTCAAAGCTTTGATTTGTATATTATTAATATAATATACATGCTTGAAAGGATTTAAGAGTACCTGATCGAGCATCACTTTCAATCATTCCCCATTGTGCAATTATACTAGTAAATAAACAGTAAAACAAAGTATTTGTTCTTACTAATGATAATTTCGTAATCTTGAATTTGTATTTACATTATTAATGCAAATAAAGATTAGGAAGATAACATTAAATATTTTGAAAGAATTCTTCCCTTTCTTTTTCCCAAATCGCTTTTTACTTTTGAGTGCAATAAAAATCATCTAAAGACTTTGCTCTATCCCTCCTTGATATTTTATTCTATGCTTGTGTTGGTACAGTCAATACTATTCAAATATTCACCAACATATTTTCAACAAATATTTTCAAAAACATATTTTCAAAATATCTTTTTAATAGATGTAATCCATAACCAATACCTATTCGCCAAGTATAATTTAAATATCATATCTAATATTATATTATATAATCACTATCGGATAATATCGATAATCAATAATTATTATCCAATCAATTTAATCAATTTCAAAATTCAGATTTCGAATTTGAATAATGAATTAATTGTGATTTTTGTGATTTAATATGAATTATGATCCTAATTGATGTTTGAATATGCAAATAATTATATTCAAATATCAATAAAAATAATTAAATATTCATCAATTTAATCTATGAAAAATGATTTTTCTTGTAAAATATTGCTATTTAATAGATTGTTAACCTTATTGTATACTCCACTTCGGGTTAAGGATTCCTGAGCATCCTTAAAATATAGTCAGATCCTTAATATAATTCTTTCCACGCGTTACATTCATTATTTAGTTGCTCATTCCATTAGCATAATTGAGCACGTAAATATTAAATTATTTCTTCTTCCTCTTCTTTGCTATCTTTAACTTATTACAAATAATTCTTTTTAAATTTTCTTCGTTTTTTTTAAAGACAAAAAATTCTCTTTTTAAAATAAAATAATGCCTATACATATCTTTAAATCTGTGAGCCAAAAGACTATAATTATTTATAGCTATTTAATGTAAACCAATTTTATTTTGCTGGTATAAAGTATTAAATTATCAAATGATGTTTTTAAATAAATAGATTGGTTTCGTGTTCATATTAAAAAAGGGTTTAATTAACTTACTAGAACTTTATATTGTTAAACTATTTAGTATATTTAAAATTATCTCGTTTCAACGTCCTAAAACTTTGAAGAGTAAGAAAAAAAAAATTTTTTAATTTTTTTTTTCAAATTTGTGTAGCATTTAAGCATCTAATATTTATTTTGTGAAACATAAAAATTTCGAAGCGACAGAACGATAATCATTTCAAAGGATCTTTTTTTTTTTAAAAAAAAAAGTGAAGAAATTTTACCAGATGGCTTTATTTAAAGATTTTGAGACATTATGTGAGAGTTCTTATGTCATCTGGTTCAAACATTGTCTCATTATCTCAATTATTTCTGTCGCTATTGCAAATATAATTATGTAAACATCAATAAATTTGGCTCAAATATTCGAACAAAGAATCAGACTTTGACTAAATTTCAATTGATCATTTTGTTTCATTTTCGCTTATGCAGTAATATGCTGAATAAGAGAATGTTTTAGAGATGGATAAAATTTTTTTAAAAAGAAATACATCATAAAAGAAAAGGTATTTATTCTCCGATTTTCAGTTTGCATATCATAATACAGTATGCGTTGGCAGAAATTAAATCTGTTCACTTAATGACTGGTAGATAAAGAAATATTTTTTTTTTTCACCAGAGAACTCGGGTTGGAGAAACTAGGGGTCTTGGCAAGTTGGTATGAAAAGGTGAAACTTGGTGAAACTATATTAAAAAAAGTCATCAAATGTCAAAATTACCAAAACTATATTAGTAATGGAGAACTGGAAAAACTCTGCTAAATCTATATTAAATTTATATTAAAATCTTAGTGAAATTAATTCTAGAATTTTGAAGGGGTTTAAACAAGCAACTTTATTTATTTGTATCTGGTTTAAGATTATGGTTGAAAAACAGAATTAATAAATCTTGAATTATGAATTAAGTTGCAATATTTTGGCCTAGTAGAAATTATAAGTAAGATAACTGCTGCACATTTATTAAAGGACAAATCGGCAAAAAACAGCATACAAAGTACAAATTGGAATCTACCTAACTCTAAATATTAATAAACTACCATTTTGGAACCCCACGTATAAAGTAATATAATAACTTGTTAAATAATCACATACAGTATATAATTCTTACTATAATATTAAATAAAAAGTCTATTAAATTAAATTTGTAAAATTTACCAACTTATTATTTTAATTTATTAAGGAAATTAATTTTTTTTTTTTTTTTTTTATTATTATTTTTATTTAGATGTGATCTTGTCTTATTATAACTACGCTTACTTACATATATAAAACTTAAAATAAGATAAACAAAATACATATAAGAATTAAGCATTATGAAACAAGACTACTTCTCCTAAGAACAAGTTGACCTGTCACCTAAACGGTTATATCACTATTAAAAACAATGATACAACCTAAATTTCTAGGTGACTGTCAAGATCTACCTAAAAATTTGCCCAATGCCCCCCTCGATGGAATGCTAAATCATTCCATTTGTTCCATCTAGTCTCATCACTAAAGTCTAATACATTGACATTTGTATCATCACACTTTTTACTATTCGACTTCATTTTTTTATCTTTACTACTAATATCAAACCTCTTTTCTTTCGCAACTACACATTATAAATAACGTGCATATATGATTCTTTCTTTATTAAAAAAGCTGTATGTACATACTATCAAATACAGAATGATGAAATTGCACGAAAAAAAATTTTCTAATTAATTCGTTAAAACTACTAAAAGAAGTCTATATATTTTTCTTTCAAATAAAATTTGCCATATGTAAATATAATCAAATATGAAATGGTGTGAAACTAAAAAATAAATTCAATAGACAATCTGTCTATATATTTTTCTTTCTAACCAAATAGCCTTATGTAAATATTATCAGATAAGGAATGATTTAAAATCCTAAAATAATTATTCATTTTTTTCCTTTTGATAATTTGTTTCTTAATAATTAGCCATCTCATAAAAGAAAATAGAAAAACAAAACAAGAATAACTAATTACTTATTAATACCTTCTTAATATCACAAATCCTCCTTTATCTTACGAGCTCTTATTGCACACTGACAAATTACATAATCATAAGTGATTTTATAATCATTATTTTATGGCCATTTAAAAATAGAGTTTAAGATTTGATATAACTAGAATACTTATCAAAGCTGTAATATATTCAAAAAATTATTTATATGTATCATTTAGATAAAATATTTTAAAAATAGTAAAATTAAAAGAAAAAAAAAGCTGGAATATTATATATAGACTATTATGATATTTTTAAAATTTATATGCAGGTGCATAGCAACACATCCTAGTATTGTTAAATTGCCATGTCATTTGCTTATTTTTCAAATAACATTTGTCATTTCTCATACTTTTTCATAGTAAAATCAATGTCATTTAATATCATTTGATGTCATTTCAATGTCATTTCAATGTTATTTGACAACACTAACTGTCACACCTCCATATTATATTAGATGTGTACTTTAAAAGTTAATTCAACAAGGCCAGTTTTAGGCTGAACTATGGCTAAAAGCTGGCCAATTTTTTAAAAAAATTCCAGAGTCAATTGTTACATTTTTACAAGTTCTGACTGTATATATAATTTGAAAATTTTTTGTTTAATCATAAAATTGATGATTAAAAAAAAAATTCAATGAATAAATATCACTAGTCAAAAACCAGGCAAACATGGCATAGTAGCCTTTATCTTTATTAAATTTATTCGAACTTTACAATTTACAAGAAATTAAAAAGAAAATTAAAAAATAAAACTAACTAAAAACAAAGCTATATAGTCTCCTAAGAAAAGATAAAGTAAAAAAAATTAATCTAAAAAAGAAAAATCGCTTTACACTAAATTTCCCTAGATCTTCCCCCTTGATATATTCCAACCAAAGTAGAAGCAACTATGCTAACAAAATAACGAATAGCGCGCCCACTATAAAAATCGACACTCCATCCTGCAAAAGCTGTTATTAAGTAGCACCGTTAGACGACCCATAAAACCCGAAAAGTGATTAAACCAAGGCAAACCATATTTCATCGAGTTTTTCAACCAATCGGTTCTGGAGTCACGTGAATC